GTACCTACTTTTTGTGCACTGATTTTACCTTACACGTCCATTTTAAAAGTAGGTAACGATAATATTAAATCGGTAAACAATTGAACTGGGCTATCTAAATAATAGTAAAATAAAGAAACATTTGAATTTACTAGGTAGATCAATCTCCTTTTTCAATGATCCCTAAATCATATGATTAATTTAAGGTATTGTCTAATTTTTTAATAAAGTACAGAAAAAAGTTAAACTATAATAAATTAACGAACAGAAACAAAGTAGGTATCAGTAGAAAAATTGTACTTACCGTGAACGTTTATAATTTCCAACATTTATTATGCACTTATTAAGTTCATGTTTTCGTAAAAAAAGCGCGGGAAATTCACTGAGAGGGGACCGAACTTATGTCTGCGCGTGAGTCCTCCACACTGACAGCGGTGTCCAACACGCATGCGCCGATGTGTGTTACCGCTGCCCATATACTACTGCCACTTTAATGGCGTGCGTTATTCCATACTTTGCATGTACCAACAAAACCCGTATATTGGACTTTCATCAAAAATATTCGATTACCTACTAACTAAATAATACTTAAATTTCTTGTTAGTCAATTTATCTAACAAGTATTTTTCAGTTTTATTTCAAACTTGTTATGCAAATTCGTGCAAATGTGCGGGGACACATGGAACAAACAGTTATGGGTATTAATCATACAGATTTAGTTGTTACTTTGTCATTATTTTATACTTAGGCGGTTATTAAGTGCACAAATATTTTTCTGACAAGAAAAGTGGGTGTGGGGTATCAAAGAAAGTACATACGTTTACTATTTATTAGGCTCACGCCCGTATTGTCGATATGAATGCAGCTTTTATTTTGTATATACTTAATAATTAGTATCATATTATAATTATATAATACCTACCTACTTAGCTCTACCTACTTTACTCTGATTAATTTTCATTTAATTTTTGTCACAACACAGTTCCAAATTAATGTTCTTCAAAAGTAAAATATGACATGTACTAATTTAGTATGTTTTTTACGTGGCTTTTTTTGTTTCTTAAAAAATGTATAGTCTGGCAGAAATAGATATGTATTGGAAAGGTAGCTAATATAGTTAGTTAGAGAACACTATTGTCTAATAATAATTATTAGGATGTACAAGTACCTACCTTCTTCCTTGCTGATGGGACACTTGTTTTTCTTTCCAAAAATATTAGTTTCTTGACTATGCAAATTGACTTGCACGCGGAGGCTAGACCACTTACTGGGCAACATGAGACCAGTTCGTTTCCCTTATGAATATTTTTTGTGTTATGCACAAATTGTTGGTCTGGTCAACAATTCTGAGTCTGCATATGATGTGTATTTAGAATTAGTTATTGAGTGTTTGAAAATATGAAAATGTGTTTAGTTTCCGTGTAGATACCTATCTAAATGGTAGACTGACGTTCTATTTTAGGGAGTACGGCTTTTTGGCTTATTTATGGAGCTACGTAGTTAGGTACCAGCTTTGTAGAACTGATAGTCTTGTCATGTTCGGTTTCGGGAATAGAGTGGACCATTTATATGTAGGCAAGTACATGTGTCTAAAGTAAACACAGTAAGTTGTATGAGTAGGTAATAAATTACAGTTTTTATTTTATTTTACACTTACATTATGAGAATGTAAGTACACGTTTAAATAATGCCTGAAAGTATGAGTATAACATTAACATGTTTAAATGAAAGTCACGAAAGCACGGCCATCTAATATCCTCGTTCTCTCGGTAAAAAAGAATAATAACAGTGCTAATTGCCGTTTTAAATGTGGTCCTTAATAGGCCGTTTCCAGTCACAGTGCTTCACGTTAACTTGTAATTGTAACTTTAGTATGCAATTAAAGAATTAAATACCGTGGTAAGTTACATACTTATAAGTTCGTAGAATTATATTTTCGGCTGATTAAATGTACCTACGTAGGTACGTATGTTTCTTCCTACATACGGAACGAGGAATGATATAATCTAAATTAGAAAGGCTATTTCGGCTGTGACCCGCGTGGCCTACCTGGCGTTTTCACGTTATTTGCGTGCCTACTTAAGAATAATTTTCTTGTATGTAATACCTAACTACCGCTATTGGCTCAATAAATGGTCGGACTACGGATAACTGGTAGTTGTTGCTAGTGCGGTACAGACAAGTTTGAACTCTCGGTTTTTTTTTTTTGGATAGCACAATATTGTTTCCTTTAATAATTTTAATAGCACACCGAAACCGAGTCGTCAGGCGCTAATCAAAAATCCATTGCGACACTAGGGTAAATTAATTTTTTTGCTTTTAGTATTGTAGCTTTTTATTGAGTGTGTCGAAAATTAGCAGACTGTATGCCTGATAGCTGATAGACTTTTTATTTTTTATAATTTTTTATTATGCAGATGTCGGCGACGTTTATGGACGCCCGCGACCTGACAAATATGTAATCTGTCTTTTGTGGAGAAGCGAGATCGGGTTTCTGGCAATCTCACTCACACGACAAAACTCAACGCATTTTTTTTGTGAGGGTGGACATCATCCAATGACTTCACCCGCCCGGGTCAGGGCGAGAGGGAGTGTCAGACTTACTGAGTAAAAACCACCCCGGTCCTACTTCTGCACTTCGAGCTGGAGCCCCAGTAATCCGTTAGGTTCTCCGCGGCTCCGTATCAGCAACAGTCTGATGGCTCCTTGAGGCGCGCGCGGCAAAACTCAACGCATGCGTTCACGTGTTTTGCTTAATGTCTCGTGTCGACTATCAGTCGACTCGGCCCATTTGTGTCGAAGCATGGCTCTCCAATAAAGTATTGTTTTGAGCAAAAATAGAATCTATGATATACGCGTAGAGGCGGGTCCTCCAGTCACTACGCCGTAGTTACTTAGTTAAGACTTAAAAAACAAAAACTATTACGAGCTGTTTGTTAATTATAAATGGTATTGATATTGATATATTACACACTACAAAAAAAATTAACACAAAATAATCAGTTTTATTAAATGTAAACAAAATAAAAAAATATACAAGTATAGTAGAATCATACTAAATTCTATAACTCAACTTTGTTTAACAAGTTTCATCAAAAATATTGCAATCCATGTAATCAAGTGAATCACCATCTTTAATACAAGATACAAAATAATTACCATCTGTTGCATTAGGATCATATGTATTGCAAATACAATAACACACACTTTTTCCACAGCCCCTGCATTTTGTGGAATGCTTCAGAGTAATTTCATCAGCAAACTCACACTCAACAAATTCATCTAAATTGTACTTAAAATCTAATTCACCATCAACTAAACTAATTAAGTGGTCATTTAAGAACTCATCCACACTTTCAAATGTACTTAGATGATTGAATACTAGTTTTTGTTGTTTAGTCAACACTTTTTCTAACATAAACACTAAATGATGGTGGTAACACTGAAAAGTTATTTTATCACTCTCTTTATCTTTCATGTCCTTCCACATTTTCACACAACTTAAAGGAGTCCTTGTTGCTCCACTAAAGAGTCCAGGGTTTGTGAGGATACCGCTGGCAGCCATTACTCCTCTACAGTTGACCTGTCTGTAGAGATCATCAGCATCATCCAACGTCTTGATACCACCGTTAGCAACTATGGGTATTTGCACAGACTCAACTACATCACGCAAAGCCACTGTATCCACTTTATCACCACTTTTCTGAGTAGGTGTCCTCCCATGCACAGTCAAAAAGCTTACTCCACATTTCTCTAGCTTCTGACACATGTCAATAGTGCGATTTAATTCTTTCAGTATCCTTATCTTTACAGATACACTAAAGCTATTAGGCAGATTGTTTTTGATTCCTTTTACCAAGTCATGTATAAGTTCTGGTTTAGATAATAGAGCACAACCATAGCCATCTTTCATGGCCCATTTCTGTGGGCAACCACAATTCAAATCTACTCCATCTGAATATGCATAGACTAGTTGGGAAGCATCCACAAAATCATCACGATTATTGGCAGCAAACTGCACAATCAAAGGAGTATCGGTAGCTGTTGTTGCAAACTCATTGTAACGAGCTTTAGAGTTCTGACAAAAAGAATCTGCTAATATCATAGGAGTGAAACACAAATCAACTCCATAGCTGAAACAAATATTTTTTATTAATTTATTTCTTATAGGTAAAATATTATCAAATCGTAGCATTGCATAGCATTTACTAATGAGTATCCAATTAAATAAATAAACACTTACTTTTTAACAAGTGTCCTGAATTGTACTTTACTGTATCTGACCATAGGTGCGCAAACTTTTAAATAAGTATCATTAGTTTGAGCCTCGCTAAACAAATCTACTATATCAGTTTTATTCTTCATCGTAATGTATTCCAGCACAAAAGTTTAAGAATAAAGAATTATTCAAAAATAAATATTGAATTTCGAAATAAACACAAGGCTAACCTTAAAATTTGAACATTGACACTGTCAGACACTGTGTATGTGATTGTGATTTTGATTTGACAAATGTCACTCAAAGATGACATTATTGTGATCGTTTAAAAAATTCAAGCCTCAGGCGGAAGAACACGCCACGCTTAGCGACCACCATACGAACCCATAAATTTTAATAATGACTTACTGAAAATAATAAACCTCATTATGCATCATACATAACTGATTATGACGCAGTGTTATGACGCCTATTGAGTTATATTATTTAGATAAAATAAGGTGTGCTTACCGGATTTTCTTAAAATTTCGTTTTTATATGAATATTTGATCTGACTGGTTTATAATACTTTTCGTTTATTTTGTGAATAAAAAACTTAAATAACAACTATTACATAAATAAAATTAAAACTAAATATTACTAAATTAAATATATACAACTTATGATTAAAATTAATTATAGGAAAACTGGTTTATTGGTTTTTATTGCTATTTTAATTCTAATGGATGATCCTGCACAAGTAAATAATATAAGTAAAATAAAAGAAACAAAAACTTGTCAAATATTTGGTCTTGTCAATGTCAACTTGTCAAAATTGTCAATGTCAGAAAATCGTGATCGAGGATTCTGTAGCGGCGAACTCAAAAATTAAGAAAAACAATAAGAATAATGTAAAACAATGGATACAGTTGAAAAAGAAGAACGTCTCCACCGCATAAAAGTTAAGTATAACAAAGTAATTCCACAAAATATATCTAACATAACCTTTCCTAATATTCAATGTTGATCTCTGTGTATCAAAAGTAGCCCGAGCATGCAATCAATAAAAACATTAAGTAAATACACCACTGGTTTATTTAGTATTTTTATTGTATGTAAAAACTTTAAAATATGTTCATCATTTAATAAATATTTCTATTTTTAGCTGGTGCATTTTTAGCTACAGTGGCTGGAATCTCAGCTTTCATTGGCTTCGGTGCTACTCTGGCCAAAGCAAGGAAAACTGATCCTAAATACTTTAGCAAGGGTAAAATATCTTTTATATTACTGCATATTTAGATAATAGTTATTATCCATATATATTAGCATTTTTAGATGATAATTATCCAACTTTTAATGTACGAATTTTATTTTTCTAGGCTTACATGGCAGTGCAGAGCTAGCTGATGCAGGTGCTATCCTTGCCTTACGGGCTCTTGGATGGGGCACAGTTTATGCCATTGCAGGCACCTCATTTTTATGTTATGGCATTTGGAAGTTATCGGGAGCAAAAGATGTAAGACTTACCACATAAAGTAACTAAATACAAAATGGGCAAACATATGTAATTGTTGACAACTTTCATTTACAGTTGAAGGACTTCAGAGTGAAAATGGGTAACATGTTACCAGTTTTACCAAAGAACAATCCACCTACATCACGAACAGAGTTCACAGGTTTGAACGATATAATGACATATGTAGCAGAAGAATATGGGAAACCTAAGGAAAAATAATTTGTTATAGTCATTATTTTATTTTATTTACATAGAGTTTAATTTATTAAAATGTTCAACTTGACAAATCTTGTTTTATAATGATTTCCTCCTTGTATGCTGGTCCTTCTGAACAGCTTGCTTTGCAAGTGTACACTACAAGAACACCCCAGTCAATGCTGTTTAATTCTATTCCAACACCAATAAAGTTTAGGAGTTGTGGCATTATCTGTAACAAAAACAATTGAAATAAAGAACAATGTGAAAGCTGGCTTAAAATAAAAAAGCTTCAGGGTAAACTAATAAAATAATGTTGTTATCAGTTCTACTTACTTGGAATTCAAACTGTCTTTCCCCATTACAGTACTGGCAGTTTGGAACATCGACAATACTGTTACCAGAATTCCCAGTAATCCATAGAGGTTGACCTCCTCGATCATACCTCAATACTTGGTCTGGGTGCCTTGCTACTCTTTTACTGAATTTGTTGAAGACTTTATCTTCGGGCATTGCCTTGGTGTACTGTTCCAGTTCATCTTCACTGACATTACTCAAAGTACCAGCTTTCTTTTCCTGCATTAACTTTTGCAACTTTGCCATTTCTTCATTTACATTCACATCTTTTGGGTCCTCCTGTCAAATAATAAAAATAGTTATCTATAGTATAGAATAGAAAACTCTTTATTGCACAACATATAAATAACACAAAGGACAAGCTGCTAGTCAATATTAAAACTTTTTTCCAATTGTGAAAAACAACAATTTTGTATGAGATTGTGAATTGTGATATCACATTTTTTAACATCTAACAGCATACTTATTTCTTAAAAAATTGCTGGAAATATACTAAAATTAAGTTGGTCATAAAATCAATTAATGAAAGTGTGATTATTTTTTAATAATTTATTGTATTGAACAGTCGAAATGTTTTATTTTTTATTAAGGAAAGTACCCAATTAAACTGTCAAACACCAAGCGGACACCGGTGACCGCAACCTATTGTTCTTTAATTGTGTCTACAAAGACGGTACTCGACGAGTTAATAATCAGAATTTTGATATTGAGCACTTACCTCATCTTCTTCATCTACTATAAGTTCCCATTCCTTGAACAGTACTGACTTCCCAGACTCAGTGACTACAAAATTGTTTGGTTTGGCATCAGCAGTCTATAAAATATACAATAACATTATCATACAGAAATTAAAATGATAACTAACTACTCAAAGTCAATAGGATTCTATTGAGAAAATATCACCTGTAACTCAGGACAGATCTGCTTATGGCCTTTTTGCCAGTCTAAGATTTGATGTTTACGACTGCAGTAAAATGTTTTCTTACATTTAGAACAATGTGAAGGCCCTTTACAACCACACAGATTACACAAATGAGGCCATTGATCCATCGGAAACTCCTACAAAAAAGTGCAAAACATTAATATTTAAAGCCATATATTCAGTTCTGAGTAACTTACAAAAATAATTGGTACATAGTAACTAGCAATTAATTTATAGATAAAAATCATACTTCATTTTCTATTTCTTGATAAGGTTCAAAAGAGTAAAAATCATTCTTCCTAGGAAGCTGGCATCGCAATACTTTGAAGTTATCTGAACTATTTATTTGACAACATGATCCATTTCTACATATGAACAAGAATATGGTCCTGTGGAAAGCTTCATCGGATTCTTCATACGGGGCATAAATCTGAAATTTAATCAATATGAATATTATAACCTGTATAATTATGTACTTACTCTTTGTATGATAAATTTAAATAACTATACAACTATCCAAATATAAATAAGAATATATATTATTATACTGACCTGACATAGAAACACCAAAGGTTCGTTGCATTTTTTACAACTTAATTCACTAGGGCTCGGTAAATCTCGTAAGTTTAACCATGCTGGTTTCCCACCTACTTTACTTGGAAAATACTTTGGATGTAAAAGCCAATTACTCTTTTCTTCTAAGAAACCAATATCTATTTTATTATTGGAAGCCATGAGTAGGTATTTAAAATTATAATTTGGGAAGATTAATGTAAATAAACAAAAATACTCTATTTTAGAAAAATAAACTTCACCCTTCACCACTTCACCAGTTGCACCTCACTGACATTTGGATGACACTCATGAAGTCATGACATGACAGTGACAATAGATTTTAGACAGTGACCGATGACTTTTTGGCCAGCACAGACTACAGCCCAGACGCAGATAACCAATATCTTTAGTGTGAAGACAACGAAACAATATTTTAATTAAGAGCAGACTCTTACAGAGAGAACTCATGAAGAGTATCAGCTACCGATTTCTTATAGGGTTAAACCATAGTTCCATCCAGCCATTCCAGTTCCAACGCATCATATCAATGGGAAAACCAACGGCTACAGATACCTATGCTACATAAGAATCACGACGTTGACACTGTACTGTTTTGTAAAAAGCATAAACAAACATTTCATACAAAAACAGACAGCTATTTCCACAACTACAGTGTTATATGCCACTGATATGATAAGAGTATGGATAAGAAACAACTAGGAAAAAATCGTGCCTACATAAACTTCACTTGGTCACCTGTAATGGCGGATAGAACTAGGGATGTAACTTTTAAAACTGTAGAAATATCGATATTTTAGAATTGGTTTTAAATGACTTATCAAAAAATATCATTATTTAATGATTCATCTGGATTTAATTTTTATCTAGCTGCTAAACATTACCAACATATTAGCGAAATATATTTAGTAGTTGCTGCGTGCACTGTCACTCCAGTCGATCGTGCCTATACATTCACATCATAACTTTCACGATACTTATTTATCGAAATTCAAGAAAAGGATTTTCCATCAACTGGTCAATATTTATATACTTAAGGTTAAGTAATTTTTGAGGGTTGAAAAATAAAACTGTATCAAAGTATTCATAAAATCAAGATTTATAATATACAATATCTTCGTATTTTTCGTAGTGTTTCCCTGTAATGTAATCTGCAAAACCATCTTTCGAGAAGACTCCAGAACTGGTTCCAAGTTCATTTTCATGCACATATCTGGCTAGAGGCTGCAACATAAATAGTATAATTTAACTTACTTGATCCAATTGAACATAGATTTTTCTATAGATTCTATAGGTACTGTACTAAGCTCTGAACGAAAATGTTTGTACATTACAATGATAGTGATAGATAGCGGAGGAAAACAGAAACATATAGGTACAAGAACCCGGTTAGTTATGAACTTAATATAAATGTTAAATAAAATGTTAAGTTTGCACCTCTTCAAAAAATGCTTCCAAAACTAATATAACAAAACACATAATGAATCGTTTACATTATGATTTACCAATAGAGCTTGTAGCGATAGGGCCCCATCACGTAGATTTACTATTAATTTATTGTTCGGTTAAAACATTAATCTTCAAAATAAAGTTAACAAACAAAGATATGTTTCCTTCTAGTATCTATATTTCCCACATTAATTATTTCCAGCCAAGAACTTCTGCGTGGTTCAAGCACAAACTAAAAAGAAAATTTATAATATTATTAAAATTATCGGCAGAGTTCGACACATTCTAATAAATACTCTAAAAATACCCTAAAGTTATATTTCATTTGTTTGTTTCATTTGAATCCGTCGAGCGGCATTTGATAAAAAAATCAATTTTGACAAAAATGCATTTCCCACAATATTATTCCTTATCTCATATTGTACAAAAATTATTCTCTATTGTATTAATTATTTATTACATTACGTAGGTATTGACGATGGTGGAATTTTGTCGATAAAATGAAATTTTTGACGAGTACTTAATGTTTTTTGTATTTTGTCATTATGTCAAATTAATGCACTTTATCATTCAGAATTTAGTATAGTTCTTTGTTCTACTTTTGACGCATTTATTATGTACGATAAAATTATCGATACGGGAACAATCATGTACATCACTATTTTTTAATGAAAATTGTTTTAGACGTATTTCAACTAAAATTAATGAAAATAAGCACTGCATTAGTTAGAAAAGTATTGTATTTAGTCAATTTGCAGCAACCACACTTGAATAGTTTGAAAAACAGAGATATTTTAATGAAAAATAACAGTACTTACCGATGTAATGTTACACCTGCCGGTTTACTAATATTTTTAGTGCTACATCCAATAACACTGCACCCGGGCATAGTTCTTCTCACTAACCAATAATTTCTTTGTTTACCACGCACAAAAACAACAGGAATTCTACAAATTTTCGTAAAAAAATATTGTTGACCAATGCTTTGACAGCTGATGTACCACTGACATGCACTGATAACAGGGACTAAGATGGCCAATTTGGCACAACTAGGTTTTTCTGATGACGTCAAAAAATTATGGCAAAAATGACAATAATGTGTTGTCTCTTTCTGCATAAACAAAGAGACATAAGTAAAAAAGAAACAACAGTATGTTTATTAATTTACCGTCAAGATGGATCCTAAATTGTACCCGTAGACAATAGCCAGACATCTATGTTATATTTATAAATCTATGGTTATATGCACAGAAGGCTACGTTTTTGCCTATTGGATGTGTGAACACAGTCCTACTACCAAGCAAGTTCGATCCTTGATTTTAATGAGTAGGTATTAATTACTTTTAGACTTTTAGATTTGCCAGTGTACCTTGTCAATAGAGGGTGTATACTATTATTAGATTAAGTAAGATATGCTCTTTGCCTGCTTCAGGGCTCGTACACAAAACTGCGATGCGATGCCAATTCGCATCGCAAAAAATTACTATGCTAATTGCTGCGTAGCTATTTCGTGTGACAAGGAGTCTCCCACGTTGACCATTCCCATTTTATAGGGGAAACCATTCCTTCGACGACCGTCAACCATACTTAACGTATTTTAAATTGAAAACTAGATATTGGCATGGATCGTAAAGTGCACACATCGCACTTCTATTAATATTGCTTGAGATACAGGAAAAAGAAACAAAGATTTTGATGCGCAAAGCGAATCAATTCGCAAGTTCTTGCGATGCGTAGAGGAAGCTCATACATGTGTGCGAGCCCTTAGTCGGTACCTACGGAATAGACAGAGCGGATAGATTATTTTGAAATTGGGACCTAACCAGTAACCAACCACTGCACATTTCATCAAAATATTACACACGAGTATTTTTATTCCCCGCAATACTTCTAAATTCATTGACAATACTACAGGTAGAAAGTTTTACCCGTGAACGTCATACAACTCCAGGACCCAAGCAATAAAAAAAAAAACCTACTGCTGGCATGGTTGATAGATTAACAATAGGGAGTAGGTAGGTAATAGTATTAGGTAAAACTACCAATAAATATTGCAAGTTTTAATGAATTTCGTTTAATTTTTTCGTCTAAGAATTACTAAATAACGTTACTTAAATAAAAAAATTACAAAACGAAAGATAAAGTCACATTTTATTTTCTTTCAGTTTTGTATTTCCTGAAGCTATTTTACATTTATTTTTACAATATAAAATATGTATATTAAGTATTAAATACATATTGTTAATAGTATTAATTACTAATATTTACAAGTCCATAAAACAACTATACATTTTATTAAATTAATAATAATTTAATAGACATGGTATATGGACAGGCAACAAGTTTCAACATTCATTCTTTTTAAATTTTTTACTTGTTTCATTCATCACATCATCAAGTTTATTTACCCTTCTCGACTTTAGGAATGAATGACTGTCACTTTCACCAATGTTTTGTCGAATACAGTTCAAATTGGATACATTTTGATTATGTACACTATGTTTTTTATCACCCAAACTTTTATTATTCTTATTAACTATTAATGTATTTTGAATGTCTTTAACCAAGTCACTTGTATGTAACTTAATAGGAATCAATATTTGATTTTCGCTATCACCTTTCTTGATGAACTCTTGTTTTATTTGGACCATAGACCTATTCTCTGCATCACTTGACAGTCTAATGGTCTTCCGCAAGTGTATAGTGTCGGAAGAGTCCGCATAGTTCCGCTTTACTACTATGTCACCAGTTGGCATTTGTTTTACAAATGTGAGAGTTGGTGTTTCAGACTCCTTTCCTTCAGGTTTTTGTGATTTGCTTGAATTGCCTTTATCGCCTTCCGAACCTTCTTCTTGTTCTTCAGTTTCAATCAATTTACCTAAAACAAAGAGTAGAATCAATGTATGATCTGATGGGAATCTTATTTATATTGTAAATAAAAACTATGTTTATACAAACCATTTAAAGTAGGGAATGTAATATCAGGCAAAGCCAAATGCGAGTCTGGATTATATTTGTGCATTAATGTTTTCAATAAAATTGAGATCTCTTCACGTTTTCGTGTTACTACTATTTCATCAAACCAATTAGCTAGTTGTTTTATTGGCAATGTGTAGTCTAATATAGGGTCCTGAAATGAAACAAAAATATTGTTAGCAAAATTATCAGCAACACGTTTGTTAAGATATTACTTCCATTCCTTCATTTTGCCAGTACATACCTTGAAAAACTGTTCAACATACTGTAACAAGTACAGACCACAATCTGTAAAGTTATTTTGTTGTGGTATTTTAGGACAACTTCCTTTGATGTTGTCCTTATTGAATATTTTATTTTGAGAGATCTGTAACAAAGAAATCTCAGTCAGTTTCGATTATTTCTAGAATATTTCAAAGAAAATGTTCTTGTTGCGAATTTATACTTACTTTAGCTTGATATTCACAAGTGAGATAATCTCTTAAAGTGGCTACAACTCTAGATCTAGATGCTCCGGCTAATGAATCGAATATAAGTATACAAGGCCTGAAAAAACAAACAAAAATAAATTAGTATCTGCATCCTAAGTCTTAAAATCTAGGGTAGTTATTTATGAGATAGTCGATATATTTTTAGGTGTAAAACACACCTAATTATAGAATCTTTCCCATGTTGAGTTACAGATGTTTCCATTGCTGATCTGGGAATGAAAGAAAACCGGACTATAGCACCAGTATAAATTAGACCACTAACAGATTAAATGACCATGTCTACACACTCTACGCTTTTAAATTACTATTAATATATAACTTACTGTTTGATGGGTTCTAATTTTCGACTTGGTTGAATTTCAATTTTCTTTTCCACAGCATTTTTATCAGTATTATCCTCCTCCTCCGAATCACACTGCATATCTAAATCACTTTCCTGAAATTTAAATTTGTTAATAAACATTATATGTGGACTTAATTTATTGTAAAGACTAAAAAAAGGCAAAACATACCTCCGCTTCAGCCTCATCTCGCTCACTAAGATTATCTGAGTCACAACTTAATGTAAGTTGTTCCTGCTTATTTAATGGTGTTATTGTTGTATTACCGATTTGCATAGATGATCTACGTTCTAAAAATATAGAAAAAATAAAATATTATTAATGCATCAAAATATATTAATTCTGAAAATAAAAAAATCTAATAAGCACAGATTGGAATATAATTAGAAGATTGTATATTTTACCTTTTCTTTTTATCTCTTGAGGGGTTACAAGTCGATTATCAATTGTGCTCCGACAGCCATCTAAGCTTGGATAACAGATAATAGCGACAAACCAATGACAATTTTCGTTAATAGGAACCACAATAAAATCTTTTTCAAAAATGTTGACATTCTTTGTCCATGTTTTGACTCTTGCATGTCGTTTTTGGGCTGGTGTTAAATTACTATCCCATTCGTGAGGATTAGAACTTCTGTTCACTTTACTTGGTTTAGTAGTTAGCCTTTTATAGAAAAATGTGCTAAAAATATGAGTCTTTTCTCTCTGAATGTTTGTTAAAACATCATGAACTAAATGTTTCAAATAAAAATCAATAATAACATCATTAAGAAACTGGTCTTGGGCTAGGCACATGTAGTCTTCAGTGTTAATGGGTATACCACCTTTACCAGGTGGATAAATTAAAATTTGTCTTATTTCTGCAGGATTGGAACTGTAAACAAAAAAAGAAATATTTACAATTATTAATGTTATAATATTAAAAGACTTACACAACTCAATTAGTTTCAAGCTATATTAGGGGCTCATAATCAAAAGCTATGATATGCAACATTTTCAGTGTTGTGTCGTACTTTAATATCTCTCACATACGAATAAAACAATGACCACATTTATAGATACTGCATGTAAGGTTTTATTTTAGGTCTATAAAAAAATATCTTCAAGTTATCCATACCTTTTAGCTCCAGAAGCAGTGGAAGCACTTCTCGTTGTCATTTTAGAAATATTATTGCTGTCTTTAGGGCAAGTCCTTACTAATATATCATTGGCTTCACGGCCATTCAGCTCATCCATCACTTTACCAAATAAAGTTTTTAATGTTATTTTAGCTTCATCTGTTATCATTTCTGGGAGTAATGTTATCCTTTTGAAGGGATCTATCTTTGACATTGGATTATAATAAGGACCTGCAATGACATTATGAGAAATTAATAAGATAAACTAAAATATTGTGGAAATTAAAATTTTAACATAAGTAGAATTTTGTACATACCCGAGTCCTCAGTCATATCCAAAGCTTTTCTGATGTAGGTACCACATTTGCTCATAGTATATAAAAAAATCACAGGTAATCCTTTACCGAAATGAACTAATATCCGAACAACCTCTTTGAGTTGTATTTGTAGAGCCACATCCCGAGACTCATTCTTTAGAGAGGGAGCAACAATCTTTATACCTTTTGATGATATGTATACCTGTTAGGATATTAGAAAATTATTAGCAAATAATTGCACACAATTCATACTGCTTTGTGGTTCTTGTAATACACAGGACTGTTGAGCGTATCACAGTATAAATTCATAATTATTTAGTTGTGATATTTGCAACACTAGAATAGTATGGAATCTAATTGTATTTTGTTGTCAATAGATTTGTTATGATCAACAAAGCTTATTATAATTAATTTTTTATTTCTTACCTTTTCTTTTGGTGTATATCGGTATGATCCAATTCTGATGGTCCGACAATTAAGTGATGTCACATGAGTAGAACTCTGGTTGATTTCTTCTCTGCTGCCATCTGAGACAAAGAAAAACATTGTTGTGTAAAATACCTATAGATAATCTGATGGCCACTATTCATAGCAGTTCATCCTATAAGACTGAAGACTAGGTAGGTACTTCTCGGAAGAATCTTATAAGTTATAAACATTAGATGATGCAAACTAGTTAAAAAAACACAAATAATTGGGCTGAACAGCAGCGGATTGTTATATTTAATTTACAGGTAGGTATCTGAGGAGACAAAGGTGTTATCTACAATAATATGGATAATGTTTTACATATTATTGTTTATTTTATTGATTCCAATAATAATTAGAGAAAGATAGTTATACCAGTTATTGATCCGATTTTAGGATAAGCAAGTACTTTACTAAAATTACACAACAATGAAAAATAAAATTTCAAGTTACTATTTATTTTGTAATTTTATTTACAAGTTACGATTTTGAAGTGTCGTACAGGTACTTCTTTTACTTTTATTGGCAAGGAGACACACGCCTCTCGCAAGAGTTTCTTACTTTTAACCGTCATGTATCGCAACAAAGAGAAGCTATTTCTTTTCTCTTTGTGGTACAATATTACGCGACAATGTTAGTAACCCATATATTTATGTACAATAATAAAAATCACAGTAAAGGATGATCATCATCCATAGCAATGTCTGTTTCAACACCGATGCGGCGTCTTTGTACTTAAATATAACCTAGCCATTAATACAATTGTAAATACCTGCAGCGACTTTAAACTTACCCATGACGAATTTGTTATTTCAACGAAATAAACTCACAATAAACAAATTTTATATTCTAAAACGAGACGCATTGCGACTTAGAGCAAACCACCTTAACACTTGCACCACCAGCACCACAGATAAAATAGGTATATTTTTGACATAAGCTACACGAGTGAAGTCTATTCACGCAGGTATTCTCGAATAGACTTATTAATGTTGCCAGAGTAAAACTAAAATGAAAGTTACCGGTTTTTGAAGTACCGTTTTAACATACAGAGTAAACTAAATGTAGCAATAGTAAATCAATAAAAAATTGTTATATTTTTAATGTCTTGTAGTTACCACATAAAAATCAGATATATTTGATTGCAATTTAATTCAAACATTTTGATTTTATTGACAGATGCGATAGTGTTGTTCACGTAAATTGATTTGTCAAAATAATCGATTTTACCAAGGCAGATCAGTTAATCGACTCGATAACCAAAAACAAAGGTTTATCAATTTAAAACGCTCATTTGTTTTTATCCAGGTTTAAGATTACTTTAATATTTACATAGAGAAATTACACTGATGCCTTATTTTTACGATATTACGCAATATGAGTTATCAAGTAGGAATAAGTGAATAGTGTGCTTATAGGACGACGTATCCATTGTACCTCGCATCATCGCTTACCACCAAATATAAAAAAAATATAATAATACATTTACTTAGTTCAAAAGTAAAAAATGTTGTGTTCAGAACTAAGTAAATAATTTTGTCTAGTCCGTGGTAGCTTATTTTTTTTTTATGGGAAACATTGCTGGGAGCCGCTGCCCCCAGGGGCGGGCGAAGTCGTAGCCCGAATGCTAGCAATCATCATCATCTGTCACAAAATTTATCAGGCACTAAAGCATGATGTTAAGTGTAAATTATTATTAGGACTTACCATCCATGTCGATACCAATGCCACTGTCTGGGGTCCCACCTTCAATTTCACTCAGGGATGGTTCTTTCATACTGATTGAGTGTTCATGCTACAAGAAAATAATGGAATTAAGTACACATATAGTGTTTATAATATAGTATTAAGTAGAAATCATAAAGATCTGTTCAAAAAATTAGCATTTTTGTCAAGATGATTTATTTATTATTGTGTTTAAAACTAATTTTACTGCAAAGTGAATTTAGAATTAGGTATCTGGAAGTTTCGCAACATACCTAGTATTTGAATTATAAAAGTAATAAGTAGCAAAAAGTAAGGACAATTTATTTTGATCTGCTTACCTGACTCAGCATAGAGCTATTTGAATCTTCTTCATCTGAGCTTAGAGTCAGTATGACAGGCTCTGGGTCTGGTTGTTTACCGCGGGGTTTTCGCACTCTAGGTGGCTTCTTATCTTGTACAGGCTGCAGAAAGAAAATCAATTAAAAATAACATATTTAATGTCTTGCTGTGTATTTAAATAATGTTTGAATAACATACAGTTTTATTATTTAGCGTCTTCATTGTATTCTTTAGTAAATTTAGCTTTATTCCATCCCCACATGAGCTGTAACAAGATAAAACATTTAGTACATTACTGAATATCAATAGGTCTTCATGTAAAGTGAAAACATACAAATAATGAACAACTGACCCCTGTTTGTCTAAAATTCCACCAGACTTTTCTGGTTCCTTTTTCTTTAGATCTACTTTTTTGCTAGGCACACCTTTAGGCTCCTCTGTAAATACTCGTTTGCACCTAAAATACAAGACAACATTTGAAATTGTACAAAATATACCAAGTATTACTTAAGTTCATTTATGGTTTTTTCTAGATTCAGTGCAGTTCAGTTCTGGCATCATAAAAAATAACTTGATTGACTGTCGCATTCAATCGTTAAGCACTAGTGATTTGAGGTTTCAAAGTAAATTGTAGGAATAAAAAACCATCTGCTAATAAAAAGGAATTTATACATACCGTTCACAACGGCTAAAGTCGTATCCAGTGTAGCCACAAGATTTACAGACAGCCAACATGCCATCAACTAGTCGCGGTGGTGGCGACCGCGGCCCTGGAGATTCTGGACTATTGTTGCTTGCTAAAACAAAATTATTGAGTTTAATAAATATTCCTAAAATTGCATAATTTTGTTATAACACAACGTAACATGAATTTAATTCCCTTAGAGATGCACATTTTAGAATATAACACACCAATGTGTTACAAGTCCATTAATTTTTCTGTGTGGCTGTGCTACATTACATTTTGACTAAGGATTTCAGCTGTAGAAGTCTTTCTCGGCATGCCTACCTTATCAGTTAAGTGGTCACACAATCCTCAACCAAATTTTTAATTATAGTGTAACCAAAAATAAGTGTGTAAAAGTTGCTTACCATCTGGACACTGGGATTTTTCAGGGGTAGACATTTCACTACTTTGGGGTTGTGATATTACTGTAGGGGAGGTCCCACCACTCATATCTCCTAGTAACATCTGTAACAACATTTATACAGTTAGTAACATTCAATAATGGATAATTTATTGTTTATTACCAATTTCAACTGTCACAACAATGATTTACATACCGGATGATTTTCTAACATCTCCTCGATTCTAGTTGTTGAGCCCACTGACACAAAGTAATCAATCTCACTGCTTGTGTTCTGCATACATTGTATGTGAGTATCTTCCGTAAAAGGAACATTCACCTATAATACAAAATATTATCAGATTGGTTTACTAAAGTTACTTACAAATCTCAGACAAAACTACGCCCAATTTACAGAATTTTCATACCTGTTCTAGGACTTCTTGAAGGGTGCAACTTTCTTTAGGCAGTGTGAAGGTGATTAACCTCTGTTCACCATTTTGTAGGAATATTAACATTTTTGCAGATTGCGTTTCGGATACCGTTTCCGAGGGTCCAGAAACTTCGTTGTTTTCTACAAAGAAAGCTACTACACATTAGAATATAAGAAATTTTAAACATTTTAGAATATATCAGATTGTTATTTATATGTCTATTAGATTGGTAAGCTAGATGAATATTTTAGTACTAATTCGATACGAAATAAATAATTCTAATTAGTAATATAGTAAGTACCATGTTGGGAGGCATTGATCTGTTGAGTTTGCATGGGAGGCACTCTCTGCACAGGTCTCTGCGGCTCTTTACTTCTCACTAACATTTGTCTTCCAGTATCTCTGCAAATATGTATTTTTAAAGTTACCAATCAAGCATTCTTAGACACAGTCACCGTAATTTACGTAATATCACTGCACAAATTATATGAATTAGTAGAACAAACCTAATTTGTTGTATATTTGCTCGTGGTGGTTGTTGCATCCGTTTGTAATCTGCAAGAGTAATTCTCTGGCCATTGGTTAGGGTTAATACTTGTCGCTCCTCCTCCATATCAGGTTCCATGAGCAGTTGTGTGAGTGTTTGCGGATGTTGCGTGTGTTGGTCGTAGATCTGTTGCTGGAACTGATGCTGCGAGTTGAAGTTGATCTGTTGATGTGGTTGCGCGACGTTGCCGGCGACGTGGTTGGGCCGCATCGCCGGCGGCGCCGCGTGGAACTGCTGCGGCGATTGATTCATGTTCTCATTCACCGAGTGCTTCGTCAGTATGGCGGCGGTAATACTTTCTTCGAGATCGTCCATGTCACTAGCGTTGTTTGGTTGCACCACGACCTTTTTAACTTGCTGCACCTGTTGTGGGTGCGGCGAAGATCTTTGAGGAATGGTCGTCAATGCGTTCTGTTGAGGTAGAGGTCCGTTATTCTGATTTGTCGGTACTACAGTGTGTTGGGCCATTTGTGTAGGTAGATTCTGTGTTACTATTGTTCCCTGTGGTGTGATTATTCGAGTGGCCTGTGCATGTGATTGGTTCTGTTGGTTGAGGAGCTGAAAGATAAAAAAACATTTAAATTTACTCAAAGAATAATATGATGAAACCACTTAGATTTTTTTTTAGATTTTCTTATTGGATTGTAGCACATAGAACAAAGCTCACTTGATGAGTGGTGAGCTTGAGTTGGTTGAGTTGCTGGGTGTGTACTTGTTGTCCGAGGACGTGCTGGGCGAGCTGGTGCGGCGAGTGTTGCTGGCCGTGTTGGTGTTGCTACAACACAAACATACGCTAAGCAAGGGACATTCACAGGGCGTACACGGAGGCACATTCAATATGTAGGTTTCTCATGCGCTTATGGTAATGGTAGCTTGATTTATGTAGGCCCACGAACACGTATTATGGCTTCATGAGTATGACTTTGGTAATAGACTTCCATTGCCACTTTGAGACGAGAGCAGTAACCGATTAAGCATGCGAGGAGTCCATAGCAAATTTTATTCAGGAAACTTATTTTACAAGACTTTTCACTAAAACATTTATGTGTACTTTTTAGGTTCCTTTTTGTGCACCTAGGGTATGTATGTAGCAGTTAGTACCTATTATTGTTGTGTGGTTCTGTTAGTGGGTGTAAGGTACCTGTAGTTGATGATGTATGGGAGTGCGCGGCCGGGGCGGGCGATGTTGTGCGTGTCCCGCCTGCGGGTTGAGTACACGCGGCGCGGGGACCCGCGCGGGACTCGACGCGCCCGCGCCGCCCACTACTGCACCCACCGCGGATGACGATGGCTGGCCCTGAGGATACAGTACGATGTCCGTAAATTCGGAATGCCACAGACAGTGCAACTTGCCAGTTGTGATGATGACTTATGTGTAAAAGTGAACAACAGCAAGACTAACACGTTAAGAGGTTTCATTCCAAGTCTGACAAAAAATTGGTTCCGAATACCATTAATCTTGTGCTTGGCTTCTTTTCGACTATCTAGCCATTACATTACGTCACGATAGTGAAGGAATACTTACATTTATGCACAAAAGTAATCGGCTTATAGACTAACTATCATAACTGTATACTCAGTTATAGCTCGCCTACCTACCCTTCATACAAATTATAGTATGAACGTACCGGTGAGACAGCGTTGAGCATGCGCGGCAGTTGATGCTGAGCATGCTGCGGGGCGGGCGCGTGCTGGGCGCGCGGCGCGGGGCGGCGCGGGCGCACGGGGCGGACGGGCGCGCGCACGAGCGTGACGCCGCCGCTGCCCAGCGTCGGGTTCAGGAGCCGCGGCGCGCCTGCACGACCGCCTGCACTCTGTTACAACAAATATCACGTTATTCACAATCAAAAAGAATGCTCTGCCCTATTATAGACATGTAAGGCCTAAAAATTCTGCTACATACATAAGCAGGTAATATGATAATCAATAGTTACAACTATTTAAAGTTACATTTACACTCTTATTCAAAGCTATTTAGGGTCAACACAAAATGAATCATCTTTATCCATCCTTCCTTATCAGATGGTATCCTAATAGTAAAATTCGTTTTATGTCGTTCTTAGACTTATACAATTATCCATATTTCTTAAAATGCGATTTCGTTTTAATAAATAAATAGGCTTTGTTGAGCGATCAGTAGTATCAACATCATTGACGTAATCCATTCTACAATAGGGAACCAATTACTCTTTTTAAAACTCTCACTCATCTAAACTTCATTAGGTATTGTACTGCCATCTTTGAGTTTTATAAGAAACACTTAAAACTTAATTGATTTAGCGATAAAAACAGATAGGGTAGGGTGAAATGGAAAAGAACAAAATATAAATCTAAAAGCCGAAATATAACGTTCTCAGCTACTACCGCGCGGTCTCACTCGCTGTTCGGGTCCTATTGGTCGTAGCGTGATGTTTAAAGTCTATATATATAGTCTTCCCTATCAAATGCAATATCCAACAAAAAAAAAAAATCAAATCAGAATTACTGAGATTAGCGCGTTCGAACACAAACAAACACAGTTTCAGCTTTATATAGATTTAAGATATAAGTAAGTAGTACAAGATTCAAAAGTGAAATAAAACATAAACTTACAGCTTGATTGATGTATGCAGCATGCATAACAACTTGTTGGTGTGGAATCTGTTGTTGTTGCAAGTGCTGTTGATGTTGTTGCACTTGTTGTTGTTGTTGCTGCTGTTGCTGCAACTGATGTTGGTGCTGCAACTGCTGCTGTTGCAACTGTTGCAGGTGAATCTGTTGCTGGTGTTGTTGTTGGAAGTGCTGGATTAGTTGCGGCGACGCCCGAGACAACTGCTGTTGTTGTTGCGTTTGCTAAAATTGGTAAAAGCGACGATTTAATTACGAGACGCAATGAGATGGGTATGAGGTGAGGTAGAGGTATTAACGATACATTCAACAACATAAATTATCTAATAGTAATATGCTAAATACTATCGGTTGAAATTAATAACTTTAATCCAAAACCTGCAGATATGGATTGATTTTTGATACTAATGGCCAAAAAAAAATTTAAAGGTGAACCTTGTAGAGTAGTTTCAAATTGAACTAAAACACAATATTATAAATAAATATGTAGGTACAACTTGAAATTAACTAAAACAGCGAATAAAAAAGAGACAAAAGAATATTAATTGTATGAACTTTCTGTCAAAACTCAAATCTTAAGCCCCAGATTTTGTGCCGCGGAGAACTTCACGGGTTGCCGGTTGGAGAACTTAAGGAACGGGGTGGTTTTTAGTCGGAAAGAATCTGACACTCCCTCCCGCCTCACCCCGGCGGGAGAAGTCATTCGATGATTTCCCCCCTAAAAAAACTTTGTATTGAGATAAGTTATTAATTTCGGCCGTATTTCATCGCTATTCTCCCTAAATAAAAAAACTACATACAGCTGAATATATAACCTCCTCCTTTGTGGAAAGTCGTTTAATAAAACGATTGTTTGTCATTGTCTTTCCACCAAAACATAAATCTCAGTTTACCTCTACTTCAGTACACAGTGAAGATTGTGTATTGAAGTAGGGGTGTGTCTGTGTCACAGAAGTATAAATAGTTCAAAACATGTGTTTGCTAACAATAATTAGTATATTCTTCGAGAATAAAAATTAAATATATTCCCATTGGTTACTGTAGTATACTCTTGTTCTTTACTTTGTATTTTCTAATGACGTAAGTAATTGGTGAAAGTTTTTAAATCAGCATTGTACTTTAATGAAATTATTGATCCCCAAGTAGCAAGCCATTAACCTAGTTTGGAAACCAAGAGATATAGGTAATTTTTTGTTCATTGTGTTCATCATATTATTACTGTGACTATATATTTTTTCTAGTTATTACTTTACCTTTATAACTATTTATGTTTAAAATTATACTTCCATTACATTTTAGCCCTGACTAATGTATCGTCAATATCTGATTAATTTATTTATGTATTTGTTAAGGAAAAACAACAGTAACATAAAACATAATATACCATATTACATAATTCGGCTTATACATCATACTTGGCAAATATGTTACTCAATACGTTTTCCACATATTACTTTTAATATTAGATCTAGAGTGACACATATGTACATTTACATTACATTACGTAATAGTTGTGAGCTCAAAAATCTACATACACAGGCACCCAAAATAAATAGCACCAGTTTGAAACCAAGGAATGCAGTTAGTTACAATATAAGTGAAGCAAAAGTAACATACATAAACATAACATCACGCCTTTTATCCCCGAAGGTGTAGGCAGTGCACATTATGTCACTGTACAATGTAACACCCACTTTTCACTATTTATGTTATGAGTCCCATGTAATAGGGGTTGAGCCCATTGCCATACACCGGGCACAATCAATTCCAGACTCCGTGCTACTACTGAGATTTTTTTGAAAACCCAGTAATACTTTGCCCGACCCAGGAATCGAACCCGAGACCCTTTGCCCGGCAGTCGCACTTGCAACCACTCGGCCAACGAGGCAGTCAGCACTCAGCAGTGAAGCAAAAGTAACTATGATTTAGTTATGTCACACGTACTATGGTCATATTATTAAGCTAGCTAGCTAGGTTCTGCTAGTGGCTTCACGTGCGTCTTCGGATGAAAAGTAGCCTATACGCTATTCCAGACTTTTTTTTTTTTTAAGGGGGAAAATCATCGCATGACTGCTCCCGCCTGGGTGAGGCGGGAGGGAGTGTCAGACTCTTACTGACTAAAAACCACCCCGTTCCTTCTCCTGCACGTCGAACCGGAGCCCCGGTTACCCGTTAGGTTCTCCGCGACTCCGAATCGGCATCGGCCCTATTGGGCCCCATCTGTGGTGGTCTGATGGCTCTTTGAGGCGCGCGCGGAACGCGACGCGCCGTACGCTCGGGTACGCTATTCCAGACTACAATCTATTTCTGTGCCAAGTTTCACTAGAATATATTCATTTTGGCGTGAAAAAGCCATACATAAAACATACATATATCCTGAAAATTGTGGCGTTTATAATATTAGTAGGATCATACCGTCTGTTGCGGAGCATGTTGCGGCGGTGCGGGCGGGGGCGGCGGCTGCGGCGGGGGCTGCTGGGCGGGGTGTATCACGGTCGGCTGCGACAGCACGTGCGCCGGGCTTACTAGCTGCTGTCGTTAACATACCATTTTCAATACAATTCTATTCAATCTTACATTTTGGATGTTTCTACGAAAAATTGAAACGTAAAACTGTCTTTATCCTCAAAAGTTAGGGATGTTTCCATCTAGTAAAATCTTCTACCTTTTCCTTAAAAAAACTCACCATGTCACGTTATGACGCAATTTTCTTCGATTAATAATTTTGTAGTATAAAATCTTTTCTCAGTAACAAACAAAATAAAATAATTGATTACTACATTTAATTATCAATTAATGTATTCAACACGTAACGATTTAAATACATTTTAATCAATATCATATAAATATTTTAGTTTATATAATTACAAGTTCCTAAAATATTTTAACAACCCATCAAGTAAATGTATTTTTTTTTTCGTAGAAACACCCATTGACACATGCTTTAGTGTTTACGGAAAACATGGACCGTTAGCACAAGCATGAACCATTCTGTAAGTTACAAGTAAATCTGTAGATTGTTAGAAAATGGTGCTTTACTTGATGACTTCCCCTCATTTGCTTTTATATCAATTTTTAAATCAAATATTAATTAGTCTATTTTGAATTGTTTACAATAGACTAATTTAAAGAATAGCTGCAGCTTCTAAAACAATTTATCAAATGACAAAAATTTGAAACTGCAGGTAACATCTGTGTGAACGATATTTGTGTAATCCTAAAGATCATAATTAACCAATCTGATTTAAGTTTCATCTGGTTCTGAAATGTTTTTGTACAGACGACATTTATTAAATGCACCTTTTTAAGAAGAAGCATACAAAAATTAATATAATAATAATTATTATTTACATCTAAACAACCACATCCACATTAAACATCAGTCATTAAAATATCTAATTTACTAAAAACAGACAAAAATAAATTAACAAGAAAGCTTGTCATAGTATATAGTCCTTGAATTATTCCTTAATTTTTTGCACAGGAATAAAAGCTGTATTAGGGATCCCTGTTAAAGTGTATTATGTAGTATTGTGTTAGGAATGATAAAGCCTTACACCGTTAGACATTGCCAAACAGCATATGTGAAAGATTAAAGGGCATAATTTTATTTCAGATGCTCTCTCCAAGGAGATTATTTCTTATGCAGGTCAACTTTGCAAAGTATGGTTACTCATTGAAGTTCCATTAATTGGATTAAACTTCCTTCTTTTATGGATAGTCACATTACCAAGTATATTACAAATTATGTATTTAATACTTGTTTGTTAAGTTTCATAGCCAATTTAAGAAGAGAATAAGAAACCAAGAATCTTTTTCCACACAAAATTTTGATAACGAAATACAAAAATTCTATTCAACTAAATGAAATAAAATCATTTAACCAAATGAAAATAGTAACATGCTAAGCATATTATACCAAGAAGTTCTAAAACCATAATGCAATAGTTTGTTTTAGTGCATAATTTACACAATGATCTAGTCATGGGACATACATGTTGGGGTCGCTGTGGAGATGACTGTTGCATCAAAGATGCATCAATGATCTGTTGAGCCTGTTGTAAGACAACCTGAGCATCCACAGGCAAATCAGATGTGTAGTAAACCTACAAATAAATTACACATCATAGAATATACTACATACACCTTCATGGCTTTTAACATGTTTAAGTTTCCTGTAGAATCAATGTTGTAAAGTAATAATTTGACCAATACCCACTTGGTGCCTATGCAATGCCTGTTGTTGTTGCTGCTGTTGCTGTTGTTGCTGCTGCTGTTGTTGCTGGAAGTCGGCGCGTGGAGGTGGTTGAGGTTGTGGGGCTTCATGTCTGATGATGTACTGGGGTTGATACTGTAAGCCATCACTCACAACCAACTGAGACTGGACCCCCTCGCTTACTATAATATCATTTTGAGGATCTGCTTGTTGTACCACCACCTGAAAATAAAATAAAATAAGTTTTATACATTCCGGTGTAAAGATAAAAATTGAGTGATTAATAATGGGATATATGCTTACTTGTTGTTGTGCATATTGTTGTTCATCTTGGTTCACTATTATCCTATCCAAGCATAAGTTTGGGCAGTATCTTTGTAGATCCTCAAGAGTCAATGACTGGCCTTGTCCAACTATCTGGTAATATTGAGCCATTGCTAGAGCTTAGCCTAAAAACATACACATGATACATGCTTATTGAGAGTAATATTTCATCATAATACTGTGTTAAAACATCTCCAAAAGTATAAGGCAGTTTAATTTATGTATTTTTTGAGATGGGACTTGGATTAACATAAAAATTAAAGTTTATGATGGATAATCAAGATAACAGTAAAACATTTGTCATATTTCAGTTCAATTTAGTCGATATTTTAATAAGAATCCTAAATAAACAGAAAACATGTCATGTCATGATAAATGATAGTAAAGTCCTGTCTCAAAATATTACACAAAAACTATAAGCTTTGCATTAAACTATAGAAAGAGAGAAACTAGTCGAGTTTCTCATCAACCAGTGGCATAAGTAAGCTGAAAACATAATGAAAGAGCTGCTTCAAAAGTAAGAGAAATTATTTGAAATTAAGGTAATTGTTTAGAAACTAATCTTAGGACTAATGTTACCTTTATAGCCATATAACAAGCCAGTGAAGGTAGTCACATTAGTGTTAAATTTTATTAATACCTGGATAACTAAAGTAGGTACTATTCCCAAGAATCCCAAGTAATTATACCAGCCAGCTGTTAATTTTAAAAATGTCTTCATATTATAATTCTAACACAAATATGCTACAAAAAGCAGAGAAACATTGAAATAATAGTAGTAAAAACCTCATTTAGAGTTAATAAGTAATATAATAAAAATCATACTAAAAAACTGAATGCCAGTTAGAACTGAAAATTAATCAGATAACCATCTTAAACATTATGAATGACTGTAGATGTATAAAAAAATCTTCATTGTGTAATCAAATAGGAAAATGAAACAAATGTTTAAGTACAAATATTGAATTTATACCCTTATGCTATGCTTGTAAAAATATCTATGTAACATAAAAACAGGGATACTGTTTATTCACTGTACTGAATATGGGTGCATAGTAATTTTTGTACTTATTCTAATTGCTTATAATAACATTATATTGATGATACACAACTTTTTACTATATTTACATGTCCTCAAGTTATTATTTACTTTAATTCTATTCTACAATTGAAACTGTTTTGGAATGTCTTTTTTAGCAAGTTGAGAATAGTAATATTATAGTCTCTCTATGTTATTACATTCTCATAATTTTGATGTGGGCTAAAATATCAGTTGATGTGTAAATGAATATAAGTATCATTGTATAGGTCACTGTCAACAATAGTACCTATGTATCAACATTAGAAAATTAATTAGTAATCACAACAAAAAATAGCAATACATTCCTTCCAGAGAAATTAATTACTTATTTTACCATATTGTATAGGAAATTAGCAGAGAATCTAAGAATCATCAATTTCTAAAGACATTACAACATGCACTGTCTGATTTGTTTACAAGTAATACCTGGCAAAAAAATCCTCAGCACTTTGCTTTCAAACAGTAGAAACAACTATAATGCACTCATATTTTAATTCTTAACACTTCAAAATACAGGCACAGATATAAATTATGAGGGACACCTATTTCTCGATGACAGTTATTATGCCATACTCCCTGAACACTACATACGGTGCAATAACAGCAGCAATGACTTCTGAAATCGTACCAACACCTCAACTATGGCGACGACTCAGCCATTACCTTTTCAATTAAACTTTTTGTCCGTCATATAAACATCACCACTAGCGATTAAAACATTAGGAACAATAAGAAATTTAACTTCAATAACGTTTACACGAAAAGAACGAAATGGCTTCGATTCCTTTGATCCAACCTAAATACTTCGAAAGGAGAATGTTTAACACAGATTAAGTCTAGGCTTTGGATTTACTTCTTACCAATATTAACTAAGGACATTTTAAATGTCTTATTTATACATTATAAACGAATTTTTAACATCAAAATGTAAAATTTTTAACTCAAACGCCAAATCGAGAAGCAATTTACATTATGGCGTGTGTGTCACTTTTTTATAAATGTTTTTTTTTTCGGCCGGTGTTACTATGTTCATCTAAATTAATAAAATCTATAGCGGAAATTCTCGATAAAATTGCCAATAAAAATACTGTATTTTGCAACAAACGGAACTTTTAATTAAATTATAAGAACAATTTTATAAGGTAGTGTTTATATATAAAAATTTTATTTCTCAATGTGAAGTTAGGTAATCGTAAACTAATAAAACCGATTATTTAATCTCAATTCGAAGAAAAATAATGTGTGCACATCTCTAGTTGAGCCTGAAACAACGATACGGTTTTCGTGTGTTTTAATTTATTACATTGCACTTTAATTCGCTTTTCTTTTGGTTTTTACCACAATAGTTTGATGGAAATTGTATAAAATTTATTGTCTTCGTATAAAATAGGGGCACGTAGTTTATTTCAACTTATATGACATTTTGTTGCCGTCCTCATCACTCGTGCAAATGGATGATACAGTGATTTCACCAGGTACACTGCAGATAAAACACGTAAAAAAGTTTATTTTCTTCTTTTTTAACTTTTTATAATCGATCATATTATTTGTAGGTAATAAGATGGGAGATTCCGCGTCTGAAAGCGACTCCAGCTCGCTGGATGGCGGAGCTATGTTGCCTCCTAGCACAGTTTCTCGTGATCAGTTACAGAAAAGGATAGAATCTCTGCAACAACAAAATAGGTATGTTTTCGCCGATATTATATTGGATTCTCATCAGAAAATCTTAAAACAAAATGTAGGTACAAGTATTGGCCAGTAAAGTTCTTCAATGTAATTTGTATTTATATGTTTCTCTATTCCTGTAGTGTGTATAATATGTTTAGCCAGTCTTCATACCTACGGATCATTATCAAATCTGAATTATTCTTACTTCGAATTTTGTTATTTGATATTGTCTTTTTTACAAAGCCAGATAGGTAATTAGATTCTTACAAGCAAATTCAGTCCCATGTTTGTAGCTATATTTGTCAAGCAGATGCAGTAAGTATTGCAGAATTTTATGAAAATCTTTATCTGTAACTTATGGATGGAAATGTACTTTTAGGGTTCTTAAAGTGGAGCTGGACACCTATAAGCTCCGTGTGAAAGCCCTGCAAGAAGAGAATCGTGCCTTGAGACAAGCTTCAGTTTCTATTGTAAGTCAAATAATGTAAATTATTCTTAAAAATTAATTAAATGACCTCCAAAGACCTTCAAACCGACTAAAGAGGTTGTATTTACATTACAGCAAGCTAAGGCTGAGCAGGAAGAGGAATATATTTCGAATACATTATTGAAAAAGATTCAAGCACTCAAGAAAGAAAAAGAGACTCTTGCACACCATTATGAACGCGAAGAAGAATGTCTTACTAATGATCTTTCCAGGAAACTAAATCAGGTACCTGACAAATAAATATATATATGTGAGCTTTTAGTATACAAAACACATAAAAAAAGGTGGATGAAATGTTACTTAGAAATGATTGAAGCACCAAAATGTCAGTGGTGTATATGTGTGTGAGTGTACTTGCAACACCATAATGTATGAAGTGTAATGACAGGCCATGTCCTTCATGTCAATGTGTGTGTAATGTTATAGTAGCCAGGTGCCACAGTCATTGATTTCAAGAGAAATCAAAATAAGTAAAATAAGAATATAAATAGTGCCCTTATTGCTAAAAGTGATGTCTTCCAGGCAACATTTTAGCAATTTCATCAATTCAAATTCAAGAAGGTTTTATTTTTACATTTTTGCTCATTCTCATAATATGATGACGTTTGGTCTCAATGTTACTTATTTTATTCAAATTCTACATTCAGCAGCTTAATGTATGAAAATATTATGCTGTTTATTAAAAGTGTTAGTAATTTACACTTATCACCGTGACTAATATTCACATATATTTTGCATTTTTCTCATTGAAAAGTGCACTTTAATAATCCTATTAGAATCGTCAGTTCAAAAGTAAACTTTGATATTGTACTTCCATAGTTGAAGATATTTGTTTTGGACCTTCTGATAAAGACTAAAAACATTGATATAGTTTTATTAACAATGGAATACTCATCTATACATAGTATAATACAATTAAGCTGTTTAGTTATATTGGTATCTTATCACGGCCATTATCTCATGTGTGCTTAAGTTTCAATTACTTAGTAATTATGTCTAGAACAAGTCTTAATAGGATTATTAATTGAAAATTTCCAAATATGTTTTAGGACAATCTCATATCAAACATTTCTTTTTGAAGCTGAACAAACATACAATAAATATTTAATATAAATCGATTGTAAATTAAATGTCTAATATTTGTATTTCAGTTGCGTCAAGAGAAATGTCGGCTGGAACAAACTCTAGAGCAGGAACAGGAATGTTTGGTGAACAAACTGATGAGGAAAATAGAAAAACTTGAAGCTGAGACACTTGCCAAGCAAATGAACTTAGAGAGACTTCGTAGGGAAAAGGTAAATAGTTTAAACTTGTTATTGAGACATTCTTTGCACACTATATATATTATAAATGATCTTCAAATCAGTAACTCGTATAGTTCTATCTTAGTTTAATTCTAACCTAAATTTTTTTATGCCCACATTAATACAGTATTAAAATGTGTTTAGGTGGAACTGGAGAACACATTGGAACAGGAGCAGGAGGCACTTGTGAACAGGCTGTGGAAGCGAATGGATAAGTTGGAGGCAGAAAAGAGGTCACTGCAAATCAGGCTCGACCAACCAGTCTCCGATCCAGCTAGTCCTAGGTGAAAATCTTAACATTTTAACTCAAATACATCGTGTTGTTTTGAATTGGGTTTATTTCTAATATGTTTTCATTTTGTGGGATGTAAACCATAACACAGATTGTGAAATTTTCATCGAGGGGCCTAAATAGTGATTTGAAACTCCTTTAGTAAAGAAAATTTCAGAATGGTTGTGCGAAAGATCCATAGAACCAGATCTGAATATTTTTTAAAGTTCTAATATAATGCATGTTAAATTATAGTTTCAAAGGCATGTTGCTTATTTCACATTTTGAATAATTCTTCATGCATCTAGCTGTACTTTCATTGTTTTATTATTAATGGAGTTTTTTCTTGCTAGGGACATTAGTAATGGTGATACAGCATCCAATTTAAGCAATCACATTCAGACCCTGCGTTCTGAGGTGGTTAAATTAAGGTAAGTAACATAATTTGTTTACTACATAATGTTAGGTCATTGACACCTACATACCAAGTTCACTAAACTAGACATGCCATCTTCATAGCAAGCTGGAACATTATGTACACAAAATACTACAGCTAGCAACAATGAGAATGAATTTTATGTAAGGACTGAGTAAGCTGATTACTACAGTAGCCTTTTTCATATGAAATTTCGTGTAAACAAAGCCTTGGGCCTTGACACACTAACTATGCTTCAACTAAAAATTGGTGTTGTGTGTTTTTCAGATATTAATAGTTTTATGAAGAAACAAAATGGTGGTTCAATTAAGATCCTTAAACAAGAACATCAAGAATGATGACAGTTGAATTAAATGTTAAATCCTAAATTTTGTTCTGTAGATATTTAATATTAAAAAAATTTGAACTTATTTTTTTAATTCAAATATTATGATTAAAATCTAATAATCTAATTTAATGTGCAACAGAAATCAGCTGGCCGTCTCTCAGAACGAGAATAAGGAGAAGATGCATCGCTTTGCGCTTGAAGAGAAGCACATTAGGGAAGAAAATGTTCGCTTACAGCGGAAACTGCAGCAAGAGGTGGAACGTCGCGAGGCTCTGTGTCGGCATCTGTCTGAGAGCGAGTCCTCACTCGAAATGGAGGAGGAGAGGCAGTTTAACGAAGCTCTCAGTGTAAGTAGTAGCACTAGTTTACTTGGGTCATATTTATCTTAAAACTAATACATGATTTGTAGAATCAGTACTGAGATTCTCATGTGGATATGGCGTCTTTTTGGGGCTGTAATGCCTAGTATTGTATGTAATAAATAGTCTCTATATCCATCAATTTTGTATCAAGTTTAAATAAACAGATTTATGAGAAATTGAAGTTGTGTAATAATTTGCAATGGTTAATTTGCAGGCACGATCGCGGAGCGTGTCGTCGCCGGGCGGGTCACGGCCCCTGTCACCATACGCGTCACCATTGTTGCCTAACGCCGCCGGACTACCACTGTCGCGACCTTCTCTGCATCTCAACTCTCAGGTTTGTACGATCTATTTATTTTATAGGACTTATCTGATGCAATTTATTGTTTCAGTTTATTAAAAGCCTAACTTTTTAATGTATATCATACCAATTAATCATTTAGAGTGCTATGAGAGAAGAAATACTTTTATTAGATTTATTTGTCTAACTGATATGATTATAATATTGTTTCAGACTCGCCGCACAAGTGACAGGTTCGTGAAACCTGCAATTCCAGGCGCCGCGGGCTTAATACCTCGCGTGGCGCCGTTGGAGCCTCCAATAGCGCCCCTAGCGCCCCCGGCAGCCCCGCTGGCGCCTCTGTCCGCCTCGCCTATGCCCAACCCTGCCATCATGCAGCCCGCTAGCCCCATGGACACCTCCTCTAAGGACTAAGTTCGGCCGCCGTCCCTCGTTCACACCGCGACATAAGGGCGGTTTACCAGCATACTAAGGTTCCCAGTATCACTGAACCCTCTTTCGAATTATGTATGTATAAATATGAAAGGGCTAGGTGACATGTTTATGTCGGCCGCACGATATGTATATGCTGTAGCCGCGTCAAATTATTTATACTGGGATACCGTGAATTAGCCCTTACGTCGAAGTGCATTCGAAGCTGTAAGGTTGAATAATAACTGCTGTGATCAGTCGTGACGTTACGGCAAGCTATCATTATTTGGTCTGTGTTTGGAATGCGGAACATTTGACAGCACGGCTGATCCTTGCTATTGTTGAATCTTATGTAAACGTACTGTGCACTCTGCTCACTGCCCTGTCGACTCGGCACGCTCCTAGAATAACATTCTTATTTTTGCTCGGTCGTGATTCATTTACTGATAAAATTGGTAATGAACGAGATTATGGAATACGGTTGTATTCATATGTTATGTGAAAATGTTTAAATAAAGGGCGATGATGAGGACGACGATGTAACTTTCAATTAGGATAGACATAGCTAGTTCTGATTAAAAATCAATTTTGGAAATGTATCCGGGCTTAAATTCGCGGCAGTGGGTTTTATTTTATAATAAGGCTGTGTATAAAATTCACTTGTGAGTAAAGTTAGTAAAGGAGAAGGAGATAAAGATTGTAAGCTATTTGATATAATATCACACTCGGGGTCTAGCAATACTACTCCTACGCAATGTTTTTGTGAAGGAATGTATAATATGTTACGAATGTTGTGTTGTGCCCTCAGGGCGAATTGTTGTGTTCGATATATGCTCGTAGGAGTAGTGAGTTATTGTCCTCGGACTCAATTCAATTATGCAAATTGTCACATTTTTTTTTCATGTTATAATAAAACAAAATATATGCATTACTATTATGAATCCTTTTATTTTATCTCCTTTTAAGAAGTTATTCAGATTATAGTCTACACACAGTATGTAACAAGAAATTAAGAGACAGCACAAATCATAGGCAGTAGTACAAATATACGTGCTTATATAGATTGTAGTGTGAGTGCATATCTCAAGTCTGCACTGAAATGCATACCAGTCCATGTGCTGATAAAAACCGATTTAAATTAGCCGTATAGGTCTTACGTATGGAAGAACGTGCCTGTAACAATTCCTCCGACGTCTAAAGTGTAATATTACATCTATTGAAATCGGCGCTTTTCCGCCGGCGCCGAACCGAACGAAATGATTGATTTTATTTCAAATAAAATACAGTCGGTCTATAAAAAATATACCTATCAATACAAAATAATAAATGTAAAGAAACACGAATGTAATTGGATAATCGAGAAATTAATATCAATGAGTAATAGAAAAAAAGTACTATTGAAAATACACGCGACACAAACAATTAACAAAATCAACTAGTACACAAACGATATAAAAATAATACTAATAGGATGTTAACAAGGCTAGAAATAACTCGATCAAAAAGGATATACCTATGTGATAATTTCTTCAATATTTCAAGCTACCCCCAAAAATACTGACAAATATGTTTGCACGCAATTTTGATAACAATGTGAAGAATGTTATTAACACTTGTAATGAGCCATTATTGAATGAGAAAACATACATAAATACACCGATAATGTTAAGAAAATTAATGAAGAAACTTTACATAAAATAGTCAAAAATATAAATGAAAAAAAGTCCAGGGCACGACAAAATAAGGGCAACAGACATTAAATATATATCTGACAAATTGACCCCAGTGCTCACTCACTTAATTAACACATGTATAACTCGATCAATATATAACGGTGGCTTCTCCCTGGAGCACTCGAGATGATGGTAGCCCGCTGGGTCGCTAATGCCCGTCACCTCGCCTCAAGATGCAATGCATTATGAGCAAACTATTGTTAGCAGTACGCTCCACCAAGTACAGGGTACTTAACTATTATAATGTGCTCCACCCCTAAATGTTAGAAGTGGATCTAAAATTAAAAGTGCAACTTTAAATCTTTATGGAACTGATATATGTAATTAACTTATTTAGGCTAGTGTGCATGTTGTGACACCTTAAAATGTTGTGTATTTAAAATTTATTACTATGTAAGTGCTTAGATATAAAAAATATATAACCTAATGTAGCAACTGTACTGGTTGTCGAAATTATAAATAAATATACTATACGTTTGATACATAGGTTGGCCAACTGGCTGTATTGCCACGCGTCCCGCGCGAAACAACTCTGTGATCCTGAAATTGTTGTTTGGTGACTGCGTAATGTGAGTGAATGAGATTAAAAATCGTAATGTTGGGACAGAATCTTTGTTGAAATTAAATAAAACAGCTGAGATACTCAACCTATCTATATCAGTACCTTCATTAATCCTTAAATAATCAAACACGAAAAAGCTTACCTAAGTAATAAAACATTTTTATTTATTTACTGTTCGTGTTATGTGATAATTCTAGTCACCATCGACCATTACTTACTTTAAAAATAACACACGATAACGTCAGGGAATAATATAAGTTAGTACAAGGAATGTACGAACAACAAACATCTTTACCAATTTGCTTGGACATAACAAACCACAACCTGGTGAATTTTTAAATCATAATTATTTAAATAAGGCGGCAGAAATCGATATTTTGTAGCACGGCGCTTGGGTTATTCGGCAAAGAATGGTCAAAGAAATGATCGTGTTTTACACACGCATCATAAACCTAAGCAAACTAGGATAAGGCGTATTTCTGTTTGTCTTGGATACTGGCAGTTACAGGTAAAATAATTTGCATAATACCTCCCACGGTGAGTTTTTTTGCTCTAATAAAATTATGTTATGCAAACGACAAATCGGTTCCTTTTCTATTATTATTGCAACTGAGATTTTTCTACTTTGTTGGTCAGGTCACTTCGAATCGATTTCCGGGTCGGGTGAAGTTTCATTGATCTTTTCAATTTTTGACATCTCATTGCTTAAACTGCTCTCCCCTCTATTAAACCTTTATTGACGCTGAAATATTGCTGATGGTCATCAAGGTGAAAAGATCTCAGTATAGATTCTCAGGTCGATTCACTCAACCTATGTATACTTTTATGTATTATTGGAGCACCTATTTATGTATTATCGGAGAAATACCTTCAGTAAGTTATGAATAGTTTTGTCTACTCGCGGCGACATGACAAGGACTTAGGTAGTAAAATTTTATTGTAGAAAAATACCGAAATTTTAGTGCAAAGTTATAGCTTTGCAATTAGTCGATAACTTTTCATTCCCTCACGTCAGCATTACTTATTGAGTTAGTTAAAATAAACTGAGTTTGAAATTAACATTCAAATAGAAACGTAGGTCCAGCGGGCGACGCGAGGCTCATAAAACTTGTTGACAGAGAGACGAATACTTGCCGTGGCGTTATTGATCCTTCCAATAATTATCGAACACGTTTCATGTCACCATGAACAAACAGTAAAGTGGACGAGTATGGCGGATACTCGGTGCGACGTTGTTTGTAAGTTTACGTACGGAATCGTAAAGTAGAGGCAGGCAGTAGGTAGAACTAACAGAAAATCTGAGACAGTGAGAGCGACGTGTTTGGTTCAATAAACTTAGCCAATGGTGTTTTGTTGGGAGGGCCTGTAGGTTTTCCAATTGACTCGATAATAAGTTACCACAAACATAGTTCATAGGTTTTTGTAATTGTAGCTTTCATGGGATAATTACTAACTAAACAAATATGAAATAAGTAAATACGTACCTCAGTTATATATAGGTTCCAACACGTTTAGCGCGGTGGCTGGGCAACCGGCTGCCGTGCAACGTATCGCGGGTTCGATTCCCGCACGGAACAACACTGTGTGATCCACAAATTGTTGTTTCGGGTCTGGGTGTCATTGCGTATGTGAACTTGTATGTTTGTAAACGCACCCACGACACAGGAGAAAATCCTAGTGTGGGGCAACGTTTTAAAAAAAAAACATAAGTTTCAAATTTAACTTAAGAATTATAATTAGATATATTATCTATCTATATTGTTTTATAAGTAAGTATTCTGACTGAACACTGATTCAAAGTGTTTTAATTTGATTACATTGATTAAAGATTACCATACCAACCTAGGTAGATAGGTACCTACTCAACAGAAACTTAGATTTACTTAGGTAAGGCCTTAAATTACTAAACTAGCTAGGAGAGTAGCCGCGAAGAACTTAATGGGTTATCGGGGCTTCGGCTCGAAGTGCAGGGGTAGGAACGGGGTACCTAGTTTTTAGTCAGTAAGAGTCTGACACTCCCTCGAGTCTCACTCAGGCGGGAGAAGTCAATCCATAATTTTCCCCCCTTAAAAATGCTAGGAAAGTAGGTACTTTAAATTAAACCTTGTAAGTACGGTACCTCACGGTATCTTCTTCACGACAAATGAATGCAGTGGTTCTAATAATATTATTTACGGAACCCTAAATATTGACTGTATGTATCTATGTATTGTAGACACATCTGGGAAGTTGAGAATTCAAAATGGAGGTATGTAAATGTTGATTTTCTATCATGACAGTCCGAAACTGCTATCTTTAGCGTTTTGTTAACGCTTTAAATGACATTAAAATATTTGGTGTTTCTAGAGTTAAACGAGCAAATATAAAAAATAGTTTTATATGTTTTTAAATCGTATTTATATAACCGAAGAGATTTAGTACCGAACGTGTTCAGAAATGGTAACGGATTTTATGGAGATTGGTACTGGCTTTTGGTAGATGCGAAGATATTTAGGTACATCTAGATCCGACGGGCAATCAATGTGACCATCTTGTCATGATAAGACTTATGGCAAATCTTTCTATCATAGTTTTGTTGTCTGGGTAGTTGGGCAAAGTTAATTGATAGGTGATCAATTTACTTTTCCATATTCCCTTCCTATTTCTACTCAATAGGCACATTTTTCTTATGTAGAGACAATTACCTTCATTGTGCACTAAATCTGAATAGGTACATAAAAGTCCCTTCTTACTACTTAGGCAGTTCAAATGTTTTAAAGAAATATCAACAATCTTCTGCGTAAGTAGATACGTATCTACAAGAAGAAAAGACTCACTCCATTTGAAACCAATTAAAAAGCAAGTTATTCAAATTAATTAGGTTAAAAACCGATAATGAAACGGATCACAAGAAAATAAAGTAGCTCGCGCGGTCACAGCTACGGTTGTCGAATAGGTGTCTAATTGGCTTTATACGTATTTGTTGGCAATTAAAACGACCGCCAACGTAATCTTGTGAACCATAAACGACACGGCCATTCAACAAACCACTGAAGAGAGATACCACGAGATGACGAGACTAAATAGTATTTACGCCAAGGTGTTAATTTCAGGAGGTTAGAGTAGCGTGAATTTTATTTATATGAAAAGTTAATTCATGCCCTGCTAGCACGTAGTGTTTAAACGGTAGAGTTAGCATGGGGCTCCGAATAAACACTGCGCCTGAGTTTACGGGCAGCCGTGTGCGCGTGCTCGCACCACGCTTCTCCGACAGATTTCCTTTCGTGTCCTTCGGTTATCTTGTTTGTTTGGATACTGTGTGCTGGATACTGGGTACTTTAATCGTTATGTAGTAATATATTATTGAAATAAAAATCTTTAAATAATCAACATTGGACTGATGTTTCAAGTCACTGGTAATCTGGTACCTACCTAGACATCTAACCTCTATAAGCACAATATGGTGTTCAATAACTTCCATAGGAATACTTAAGCAGATTGTCAACCGTAGGTTCTTAGGAACAGAAAAGTTTGTCAAGGTAATTGTTAGACCAAACCACTAATGTTCCAAAATTGTCTACTTTGTATAGTTGAGTAAATAGACTCGCAGCATTTTGGTTCAGTAGTTTCTGAGAAGGGACAGGGTTGAAACTTGCCGACCACAGCAAGTTTTGAGACAAGCTTTTCGTAAAAAAAATATTTATTCATTTACGTAAGTTCCTATGTAAACAGAACGCAGAACATAAAATGACCTACGTAGTTACTATACCTAACTGCAACTAGTTAATGAAAAATCTAGCAATGGAAATTCCGCTATTGACAAGCACTTTATCTCATTATATTATCTATTACAAAAACAAAATAATTATTTTTCAAACTACCTTTAAAAAAACCGACTTCAACCCAATTCTTAGGTAATTCATAGTGTATTTGAATAAGTACATAGGCATCTGTTTCAATGTGTCACATAAATTAATCATTCTTTGTCTATGTATTACTTACTAACACTACTCTTCTAATACTACGCAGAAATGAATACATTTCATGTATTCAGCTAACCTAGATCATGAGCTCTGGTCATCGACTCGTCCAGTGCATTGGGTACCTATCTATCGGTTATAACACTTATAACGGTCACTGAGATGTTTAAAAATGAAACATTTCTGTGGAGAGCATTGAGCTGGCTCGTTGTTTGAGGTTTCCTTTTCCAATTAGCACTTGGTCGGCCGGCAGACCGTAACTGGGTGAGGCGGGCCGATGCATTGGAATGCTGACTAGGTGTCTACAGCAGTTCCTCGCGGGAGGTACATTTGTCTTCATACACATGACGTGCAACTTGTACCTTGTGAAAGCTGTTTTATTTCATTGGCCATCGATCATATCCTAGCCATTCTTGGGCTACAAACTGCTAGTCTATAGGAGTATCTACAGGGCTGATATTGCTTCAAGAGAACTGAATATGAAATATTACTTCGATTTCATTTCGAATGTCTGAAGAAGGGAAAGTTTTCGCAACTATCTACTTGAATAAGTGGGTAATCTAGTTTTCTAATGAACGCCTCGGTATGTACACTTACATACACGTGTAACAATGTGAAGTAAAGAAGTTTTTATAGAAAAATTTGTAGTATATTTATAGATTTGTATGCAAATATAATATCTGCGTTTAAGTTTACGGTATGGTAATAAAGTAGGCAAATTAAAATGACTTTTCATTATTTCCTTTATTTATAATGATGACAAACTGGTTTTATAGATGACTTTTTGTTTGAAATAGTAAAATTTTATTATACCTAGAGACGTAGCATTTTTGCGGGAATATTTTTTTCTTTTATCTTATTCTGGAAATTAAACAATGAATGTCTGTTGTTTAATTCAAATGTCGTTGACGTTACGTGACTGAGAGCAAAATCTTGTAGTTGGGTTAAACTTTATTACTTGATTGATAAGCCAAACAGATAAGTTAACGGATTCTTTTATTCAGATGTCGCCTCAGTAGTACCTAATAAGAGTGAACCAAAATACTAGTTACTATTACAGGTATCACATTCATTACTAAAGACTACTAAAGAGTATTCATAAGTTTCTAACAATGTAAATTCTATAAGGTACTTAATGTGATAAATTTCGCTGAAGAGCAGAAAGGCCTGAATAGAGATCGCTTACAGCCTGCCGAACTCTGAATTTCATTTACTCAGGTTTTGTCTTACAACATACTACTACACATATAAATTAGTCTTATTACCTACCTACATATACAAAGTTGTATATTTAGGTAGGTAATAAGACCTACTTACTTATTTTGTAATCTGGCTTTTTATACCAAATGCAAGTATGCCTGACATTCCCATGAAACGGTAGGCAGTTTTATTTGCATCCACAGTAGACATGCATATCCTTCGCCAGTTAGATCATTTATTTTTAACATAGGTAGGTAAATTTCCTGGTAAGCACCGGAAAGTCTGACTGAAATCGAACATTCTAATTGTAATCCTTTTGGCCGACCGAAGGACTGAAACCTGCGTCCTCGTTACCATCGAACATAGACCTTCGATCCCAACCATTAGTCCTATTACCCTCGTTCTAGACAGTGGACATGGACAATAATAGGGTCACACGTCCTGTCAGGTAGTGTATGCTTTGTTCAATGAATTTGGAACCTTGGAATCACCGTGAATAAATTGCAAAATAGCTTGATGAACATTAAGCTGCAAGTGCTGTTTGACTTTATAAGCGACGCGACGGCCGACGGTGTGACACAGTCCTGCACCTTTAGCCAAACGCCACTTTAGCGCTTGTCTACAGAGAGAGTAGAAAACTAAATGTATGGGGATGACACTGACAAGTGTCAAAGTTTACGTCAATTCCATATAATTTGGTTTTCTATTCTACATGTAGACAAGCGCTAAATGGCATTTGGCTACAGCTGCTGGAATGGTGGTAGTAGAGATAGCTTAGATCTTCAGCAAGGAACTATGTACCTCATGAATACAGGAACCCTACTTGATTTGAATAATAAATAGTAGTAGTAATACATGATGTTCAAGTTTAGTTTTTTTTTTTAATTTAATAGTGAAAGTTACTAGTTGAATTTACATATTGCACATATTCATTCGTACCTATACATACCTACAGTTCGGTTCAAAATATATCTGTTAGTTAGAGAAATAGAGAACTTTGATAATTAACAATTAGTTAATTTTTATTCTGGAGATATTGCGTAAAATTAGGTACATGAATTTTCATAAAAATAGAATTTTTAGAATTTTTTTGTCTGTTTGTCTGCATGTAGATTAGTATGTCCGGAATGAACTCAAAAAGTGCTGCATGGATTTATTTCCAATTTTGCATGATTATTACTAACAGACTACGGGGGAGAGCTGTGAATCACTACTACACTAGTATAAAATAAATTAATTTAAGTTAAAAGAAAGATTAGAGTTTTGGTCTAATTTTCTCCCTGGATGATTCGAAAGTCAGTGACGCATTTTTTTTTTGTAAAACCGAAGTTTTCCTTTTCTTTTCTTTCGGGCTTTTAATGGGTTGAGTTGTTATTAAAGAACGTAGCTGTTTATTCGTAGTAAGTAATTTGTTATTAAGATATTTTTGTTAGAATTAGTTAATAATATAATTTAAACATTTTATTTGGCTTATTTAATTAGAATTTTCCATTTCTACCAACTAATAGGCTTGGATTATAATAATTTTAACATTATAATATTACAAAATAATTGAAACATATTTCATAAAATGTAATTGGAGGTAAAATTTATGGAAATACAAGTGTTATCTAAGTGACCGCCTCAATGTTGCGCAGGATTGCCTCGCTAGAGCGCTCACCTCGCCGCCAATCGCTTTGTTTGTCAATACGTCAGAGGCGGGGCTTCGGTCACTTAGCCTGTTCGCATCATTCTACCGGACCCACGACATACCAAACTCTATCTCAATACACACAAAGTATATACTCCCTTGTCATCTTACAAGATGAAACCTAAACAGGTAATAGGAAAAGATGTTCTACACCAAAGTTATATGGGTGATAATTGTGTGTCGTGCCCAAATTGTAGTGGGTATGTTGCGCTGTATACGCGCTAATGAAGTGTAGTGCGGTCGAGTTTGCGGTAGTTGCTCATGCAGTTGGCACGCCAACACTGATTTGTGATTTGTGACAGATAGAGGAACTAATTTTCATAATATCAATTACCTAACGATAAAATTGTTTCATTGACTGTTAGTACTGTTAAATTAATTTGTGTAAAAGAAGAACCATGTATTTTGTTTAAGTCAATGTGTTAAAACCGTGGATTGTGAACTGGAGTGTAATAAAGGATTCTTTATTGTTTGAATGTGTTTTATGAACCGCCGAAATTGAGGACAAAGCAACAGGTGACGAAAGGTAAGGTTTAAGTATATGTTGTTTGTTATATATAAAATGATTTATTTACCTGTCTACGGTGTTCTTTAATATTTATAGCCTGAAGAAACTATTGTGGACTTTGGTTCGTACCTATTTGAATTCATGGAGAATATTGTGGACTTTGGTTCGTACCTATTTGAATTCATGGAGAATTTCCTTAAACCAATTAATGGCATTAATATTTTGAATAAAAATTCCTTTTCTAAAAAGTTTCCAAATGATTATTAATTTTAAAATCGGTCCAATAGTTTCCGCGCCTTTGCAAGATAATATAAAACCTAAAGAATACAAAACTTTAAAGATACTTAATATGTAATTGCACGGATAAATAATAAATGAAGAGCAATGAAAAATTAACTGCTCTACCCGTGATGTTCGTTCGATCACTGGATGGGATTTTTTACCCTTTATGTATAAATCATGCAGATGGCATATGCATATAGATCTAAAAATCTATGAACAGAAATAAGATATTCAAAGACTTCAGACAAAAAGTTGAAGGCGACGGAGTTCTAAAGATTATTGATTTAAATTCTTACTGAAGTTAAGTAATCAAATGTTATCAGTCTCCAGAACCCTCATAGGACTGCCATAAAACCTTTTTGAAAACTCGGTCAGATCAGTTGACAAAAAAGGGTAGCTACAAAGGTTCTATGGTTGCGTGGTGTAGCTAGCCAAACCTGACGACCAGTTTTGGTTCCGGGTCGGACAAAGTGTTGTTAGCAAGGACGGAGCTAGCACCGTATCAATCACACTACCAAATTTTTATTATATTTTAATTTTAGTAATCACAGAAGTCGAAATAAATGTTTTTTTACCTGCGTAAAAATGCGTTCAAAGATTTGCAAAAACTTTAGAAAAATTAAACTACCAGGCCACTAAGGAAGGAATTACCTGGAGAGTTCTACAATTTTCACACAATTTATTAGTATTTTATGCATAAACTTTTTCTCTTGTGAGAAATCTATACGCTTCATAAAGGCTCCAAACAAATTTTTATACGGGGCGCTGCCAAGGCACGCTACGCTACTGATTGTTAGAGTTTTTAAATAGGGGTTGTTCCTGAATTCCTAATCACCATTGTTTCCTTACTTTGTAGCTAACGTTGTGCTCGCTAGTAGTATGAGATTGTAGAATCTTTAAACATCTACATCCTGCGACAGTCCCCTGTTATGGGCCTCTTCTACTCTCCTCTATTTGGTTTGCCATAATCTTCATGCTTGGCAGACGGGTTGGAGAACGTCGTCTAAAAGGTTCGGTTTTATCAAGGAGTGCTGCTGGCCGCTTTCTTGAAATATTTAGAAGCTCTAAGTCAGATTACTTCTTACCTTGGATGTGTGCACTACCAATATCTAAGAAGTATTACAAGAGCACCAGAATGGATGATTTTACAAGTACCTATTATCAACACACTTGTAACACTTATTGCTTTGGTGTTGCTGGTATCAATGGGCACCGATGCTTGTCACTTACCATCAGGTTAATCGGAAGTTTGTTAGCCGCTCTATTAAAAAATAAAACAACTTACAGTAAGGTTAAAACTCGATGGAATTCAGTCGTCTCTCTAAGAATACTAAAAATCTGACAACGGATTTTAAAAAAGTGATGTCACCCTTAGCGGCCTTTGGAAGGCAGATAGAACTGTCATCATATAAAGTTATGAAATTAAACAGAATCTGATCGACTTTATACGACAACCACCCAAAATGACGTGAGGAAAGGTTAGAAGAAAGAAAAAGAGGTCCTAATGTAGTAACACAATTATTTATTTAACAAATTGAGCGGGGAAATCTTAACACAAAATGTGAAATAAAAGCTCGGTGAAGATTTACTACCCAGTTAAAATAGCTTTAATGTTTTCTAAATGACAAGGACAAGGTATTCCTATCTCTCTCTTTTGCTCATGCTTTTGGAAATTAAAATACAAATTAATTGTATAATATGTCATTAGCTATGATAGTAACGTTTCATATAAAATTACAAACAAAAACCGCTATTATCTATCTAGAGATTAAAACATGATTCATAATTTTAAAGACTGAGGAAAATTTTAAGTTTTTAAGATAATCTACTAATCCAAAAATTAGTTTGGTACATACATAGATATTAATTATTTTACTATGAGTAAGAGTGTAAATATTTACCTTACTTAGAACATTAACACATCTCTAACACTAATGGAAAGATTCATAAATCTAAATAAAAATGTATAATTGCAGTTACGCAAGTGAATAACTATTATAGGAAGAAGGTTCCTTATTCAATAACACGTGATAAAAACAAAGAAGGTTAGTTACAAGATAAAAATTAGAGTAACAAGCAGTCGTATAACACACGATTCTTGACTCGATTCTTTGATATAATTATGTTTGTGTCAAGAATAACACCGAAATCAAAAATTAATGAACTGTCTGAAGGTTGTTCAGCAATCCAGAGGCCTCAGTACGAGTTTGTTTTACGTTTAAAGTAATCGTAACGAGTACGCGTTCGGCGCTCTGATTGGTTGGTTTATTGGCGTCGGCCAATCAGAGTGCCGAACGTGTGCTCGTTTCGAATACTAAAACAAACTCGTACTAAGGCCTCAGTATAATTTCTTTCTTCCAACCTTTTTATTATACGTGGTTAGCATCGACACTAGGGTTTAGCACATTATTTTGTAATCTTATACCTTACCAACATTATCAATCTGCTAAGGGTGATGTCACATTCTTGATTAGACCCATATTCCAATGTTTGGGCTTCTGTGTACCTGTAGCGACAGTTAGGTATACCCATTTGACAATCGGAGTGACGCATAGCTTTACTTGGGCGATGATGCCGAACAGCCGAAAGGTCAGGCTCAATCCCCTTCCTTAAAGGCAGACAACGCACTTGTAACGCCTCTTGAATTTGTAGCTCGATATACTGACTCAAATTGGTGTACACTAAAGATTATTATTATCTATTCTATTCTCCTTTATTGTTGCGGTGGTGCATAGGCTGCGGAATGCCTAATTACTATAAATAAGACTAGAAAAAGCTATTAGCGTGGCAGCTAAGTCCGGGAGAGCCATGCTTCGGTACGAATGGGCCGGCTCGATCGTTGTGATCCACGGCCTTACAGAAAACCGACGTGAAACAACACTTGCGTTGTGTTTCATCGTGTGAGTGAGGTTGCCGGAGGCCCAATTACTCCCCTACCCAATAACCTCCCTGAACCCTCAACAATTCTCAAATTCCTAATTATCAAAAGGCCAGTAACGCTCTTGTAATGTCTCCAGAGTTTCGGGTGTCCATGGACGGCGCCGATTGCTTACCATCAGGTGATCCGTGAGGTCGTTTACCGGTCGTATCTCATAAAAAACCCTAATTTACTTTCAGTCACTTAACTAACAAAGTTATCACCATATGAGAATAGGTGATATTTTCTGAAAAACAAGTTCATTCAAATGAGCCACGTAGTCGCCAGACGATCTGAATAGAGTTGTCTGACAACTATTGCAGACTCACCGTCACCGGCCATGTTGTTTTGTCTCGCACCTTAGACTAACTACCAATTACTTTTGTTGTGTTATTTTCGATATTTTGTTTAATTTAATTTGACTTCTTTTCCTAGAAGCAGTCTTCTTCCTCTTCCTGATGAAACACATAGGATAGTTTTATTCATTAAAATTCTGATAGGCTTCTTCATCGTTCTTAGGCTAAAGGTCATCATTTAGAACTTTCATCCGAATCTATTCTATTTTAGTGTTAAAGTTAATTCAAAGTGGTTTGATGATTAAAGCGAGAAAGGTTAACAGATAGAGTTTCGCATTTGTAATGAAATGGATTACTAAGGATGTGGCGCTGAAAAATATTTGGTAAATTAATAAACATACATTAGGGAACACATTGTTTGTGTAATGAACAATTAAGGCTTTGACTGCCAAAAGAAAATTTTTGGAGGCAAATCCTCAGTTAACGTTGGTCACAGGGGCCCCCATGGCGTTTAATGTGTTACGTAGTAAATATCCTGGTACCTACACTAGGTACCAGGATATTAGGTGCCAGGATTGAAAATATATAAAACATAAAATATAGATAATGAAAACACTATTTTAAGAAAACACTAGTTTAAGAAGAACTTGATTTAGGTATGAGCATAGACACAATTAGAATTTCAAATACATTCCGGTAATTAAGATCTGCGTATACTGTAACAATGTATTCGTTAACACGTACAATGAGATGTCTGCTTAAATCGAGGATAAAGACATAATTATGCACTATTATGCGCTTTTAACAGTATCTAATAATCCGTTAATCTGCAGATGAGGTACCTAGTCCTAGATTAAAGACCACTTAAAGATCAAGATTATCTTCTGTAATGAGTTAAGTTTTAGATAAACTACAAAAATAAACCTCATAATAAAGCACTGTCTTCAATAAATGACATCTATTTTGGTTTTTAATTTATTCACCTTATGATATTTACATGTTTACAATACCAGATACCAGCTTTCAAGCGCCTATAAAAAGTCCACATTAGCAAAGTGATATAGAGGGTGTTGACTTGTACAATAAACTCCTGTAAGTAAGACGCGTCAATTTATATTGCCTGTGCAATTCCTTCCTATTTTATGATGGAGGTGCGCAACTTAATTATATAGCTGGTATCGCACTGCGCCGGTGCAGTGCTCTTCTCCAGTTTTGGTTTTAGTTGCGGCTATAAAAGGTACACTACGCGGCGTTAGGTAGCACCTGATGTCGGGATTTATAGGGTGAAGACGCGTGCGGTATTGTGGCGGCCGGGCGCGAGCACAAAGGCCGCGCGGTGGACAGCGGCGGCGGCGCAGGTTCCGTCATCGGCCGCGAGGCCTATCGGCGCGTCCGGCTCGCCACAAAGCCCTACAATAAACTTTTACAACACGCATAAAACCCTGACTTTTTAACCCGAGTTATTTGAATTAATATCAATTCGGAGTTCCTCAATGGGCTTTACTCGTCAAACTTTAAAGTTT